CTCCGAAAGCATAGAGCAGGATGTGAAGGATGGAGATGAGTCAACCGTGAGGGGACCATATACCATCGCATCATAGATTTATAAGCTGTTTCCAGGGAAGTAATATTAATGGTACAGGAAGCTGCTGTGGTCGAAAAAAATCCCTTTTATGCAGTGAGTGCTCCATAACCATCACTTTCAACAACTTCCTGGATTCCCAGTGTGCTTTGCATCTCTTTCCCTGCTGCTTGATGTTATGCAATCTCAGTTTCTCAGGGCTACATAACCCATCATGCATTGCTTCCAGCAAGCAATGTTAATGTTACATTGTTACATTGTTCATATGTTGAGTTGTAGCTCAGAAGGCAGGCTCTGTAAGGCTGGGTTCACCCCTAGGCGTATTGAATATGCGCGTTTGTCACGCGTTTTTACCTCGATTCGCGGTAAAAAAAACACGCGGCAAACACGCGTTTCTGAGGGCTACTTGGCTGTATCCTAATGGAAACGCGAGACCAAAACGCCACAAAAAAGTACATGTACTTCTTTGGGCGTAGGCCATTTTGTAGCGCGTTCAGACAGGCTGAAATACGGAAAGGTGTGAACCATACCCATAGGAAACAATGGGATTTTCAAGCTTGTACGTTTTGTAGAGCGTTCATAGAGCGTTGAACGCGCGACAAAACGTAAAGGTGTGAACAGGGCCTAAGAGTTGTGACATAAGGAAGTGCAAGTGAAATTGTGCCAGTGTACATCTTAAAGACATTCTCAATAAATACGTTTACATACTTCTAGATGGATATGGTTATTAGGAGTGGGATAGAACTAATAGAAATTATATATATAGATAGATAGATATTATTTTTTTTCCGTTTTTGACCATGTGTACCCCTTAATACTGTAATAATAGTATACAGTATATTTGTCACTTCCATCTAAAACTGCATGTCAATTTAAGACAATCCTGTCCACAGGTTGACAATGATGCTGCATGATTTCACTGTAGAACACAAAGCGTTGTCACCCTATTAGAGAAACATTTTTATTGTCAGGATCAACAGGTATATTACACAAAAAAACAAACACTGCTGTGTAAATACTACTGACAGGCCTCATAGTAAATGTGGTTATGATGAAGGCAGGTCTTCCTATTTGGGAATCAGTCTGGAAAAGACATGGTGAAACAAACAGCAGTTTCTTCAGGTCAGAAAATGTTAGAAATCTGCAGCAAAATTAGCTAACATTCTTGCAAGGTATATAAATCACCTAGAGGAGAGTTTGCTCTTCTTAACGAAACTGTAGTTATGCTGTAAACTGGCCGCACACCAGTAAGTCTTGTCTTAGATTTGATCTGTTAGATCAGCTAGATGTACCAATACATCCAGTGTGTAGTACCAGATCTGATCAGATATTCTGAACACAAAGTCTAAACCATTGTTATATCAAGCCGTGATCTTCTCTACACTCTGACTTGTGTCTCCCAGCAATGTCTACTTTTCTTGGAATTATTTAAGAGCCTTTCTTAGAATATGCAACAATGTGACATTTCCATTCCATTAACAAGCACTCTCTCTTTGACACCGCTTCAGAGTTCACTGGCATGCAATATGTAATAAAGCATTGATTTTCAGTGATGAGATGCTGTTTTCATTTGAAGAAAAAGGCTCCTAACTACTCTTAACATAATAAATCTTCATTATTTTGACTTCTTATTTATCTATGTGAAGCTTAGTAATTGGCTTCACTTAGAAGAGATGCCAGACCTTGAGAAAATTGAACAATGGCAAAACTCGGTCATATCATGTCCTGTTTCAGTGTGCCTTTTTATGAAGCAATAAAAGCCTGCCCTTCATTGATTGGCATTTCAGATTGTTCTTTTGTGCGCTGATAGAGCTTATGCTCCCTGGAAGGGTCTAATATGAAGGTCTGTAATATAATTAAAATCATTTTTATGACTTAGATAAGCATATGCATTGCTTCACTGCTTTCACCTAGTGGTAACCAAACTTTGGACAGCCCGTCACTGATATTCAGCCTAGGAATAGACGCTGGCGGGGCTAATGATCACTCTAGTGGTGAAAGCTCCCCACCACGCCTGGCTCAGCCCGTAGGCTGTAGAGTCTCTCATGTTGTAGAGGTGGATCTCCCTCAAAGTAGATCTATAGCCAATCACTAAAAGCTCATATATCTTTTCACGTGTTATTGTAATTTTATGGTAAAATCAAAGTAAATTCAACATAAAAAGAGAGATAACATTTCAGACATGGCAGGATTTGCAATTAAAAATACAATATTAAAGGCACAATAAATCACATAACATAAACTATATTAGCAAAAGTATTGGGGCACCTGCCTTTACACGCACATGAACTTGAATGGCATCCCAGTCTTAGTCCGTAGGGTTCAATATTGAGTTGGCCCGCCCTTTGCCACTATAACAGCTTCAACTCTTCTGGGAAGGCGTCCACAAGGTTTAGGAGAGTGTCTATGGGAATATTTGACCATTCTTCCAGAAGCACATTTGTGAGGTCAGGTACTGATGTTGGATGAGAAGGCCGGGCTCGCAGTCTCTGCTCTAAATCATCCCAAATGTGTTCTATCGGGTTGAGGTCAGGACTCTGTGCAGGCCAATCAAGTTCCTCCACCCCAAATTCGCTCATCCATGTCTTTATGGACCTTGCTTTGTGCACTGGTATCTAAATTCAATACCAAAATTTGTTATATGATATATTATCATACCAGTCCATAGATGTAGTGGCTACATTAGTTTTCTTATTTTAGGCTTTTTTCCTTTTATTTTCACCTAGTTATACTGTAAATAGCACACTTCCTGTCCACATTTTTTTTTTCTCCGCTGCATCTATTGTCTATGGCTGTCATACAAGCTGGACTTCAAACATGTCTGCCTTTGTTCATCTCAATTACACGGTAGATTAGAGGGGTTTGTTTACACAATAAAGATAAGAACGTGTCTCGACTTGGACTACAAACGCAACTTCCTCTCTTTATCTCCATTACAGGGAGGCCAGGAGAATTAGTTGTTAACAGAGTTTAGCTTGAAAGAAAGATACAATTATTTGTGATTTCAGTTCAGCTCAGCTCATAGGACGTTACAAGGACACTGCATTTTTGGCTAAATCAACAGGTATTTGCTGTACTTGCTAAAAATGTTCTTAGCCTGAAAAATTAAAATGAATCCCACCACTATATCTAAGGACTGATAAGTTGCAATATATTAAACTTTTGTTTTTGCGATTAGATATGCGTTGAGGGGAGACAACTGTCTTTTGATTCTGCTCCTCTATTGTTACTTGCAATCCTGATGGAGGCTACAAGCACCTGTGCTAACACATCACATAGGCAATGGCAACTGATGTCACTATCAGGAAGGCAGTGCACAGCATAGAGCAAGGATATGCAGCTGATGCTGGTGAGAGTACCTGTAAATAGGAAGTGGTCGAAAGAGGCTGAAGAAGATCTGTAGCACTGAGATGTAAAAGAGGAAAACTGTATGTTAGGAAAAGAAAAGTTTGGCAATTGCATTAGTAAACTGAGGCCCGTTCACACCATCCAGTGCGTTCATTGCACAGTCTTGTGGGATCAAGGCACTGGATCTTATAAACAAACCCTCCCTGCATTCTGGGGCGGGAAGGGGCATGCACTATGTGGTATTGTGTGGCAATCCCACTGTAGAATTGGGTGCTATGATCACCCAGGACTCAGCCAGATGGAAATTGTCTGGATTCTGATCGGGATCCTGGAACTGGGAGGTTTCAAGGTGATGCTGGAGGGAAGAAAGCTCCAGTCCTGGATCCAGGGTTTAGGAAAGACCAGCACCCAATTAGAAGCTCCTGCTTGTAAAGGAACAGACGATGTTCAAGAGTCGGGAGAACTCCCCCAAAAGTTAAAGTGGAGTCAGGGGGTGTGTGTGCTGGAGGCACACGAAGACAGCCAGGGAGGCTGGAGAGAACTGGTGAGCCATGAGTCTGAGGGCCCAAGTGTGGGACCCCACTTCCAGAGGACCAGTGGGTCAGAAGTGGTAATGTTTAAAGTGGAAGCCAGGAGGCTAAACTTGTGTTGTTTTGAAGTATTTCATGGATGTTATGCTGAGCAACCCCTACGAGGGCATCCAAGGTGGATGTATGAACTTTCTTTTGAATAAAAGTGGACTACAAGTCTCTTAAACAGAAGGTATTGTGAGTGGATTGCATCCTTAAAGCTCTCAACATATGTGCTAATATCCCCAAACAGCAAAACTATTTTTTTGCGATCGCACCGCACTGGAACGCAGGGCATTGCGGTACCACACATTCCAGTACGGGAGACCGCACTGTGGGTGGGAGACGTGACTGTAATGTCAATGAAATGAATGGCACCACCACTTTGGTAACGGAGCCTTTGTTTATGCGATCCAGTGCATTCATCCCATGGGACTGTGCAATGCACGCACTGGATGGTGGGAATGGGCCATCAATGTCATCCAGATCAGGGGCTGACCTACTGCCGGTGCAGCCAGGGCCTAAGGCAAGGGGGGGGGGGGGCGCCGAGAGGTCCGTGCCAGGGGGGGGGGGGCTCAGTGAGATCTGGTCCCAGTGTAATGCTTTGGACTACAAATCATTAGTAATAGATGTGGAAGCCTATCAAGATACAGAGAGATTGAAACACTTTTGTGCAGATTGGGATTAAAGCATAATCATCCTGGTTTTGATATGTTTGGAAGATATGCACAGAGCTTACATAACTATATTTTTTGCAGACAGTCTTCTAATGGCAATGGCATAACTGCAACTAAGGGATACTGAACACTTTGTATTCTGTATATTGAAAAGTAAACCTGGATATTTTTGAAATCCATAGTGATTCAAACTTATGAAGTAAAAGTATGATATCAACATTTCAAGAAATCAAATGCAATAAATATAAATACATATGTATGTATGTATGTATGTATCCTGAATTCCTGAAGGTCTCCAGCTGTTGTGGAAATACATTCAACTGATTGTTTCCTTTCTCTCACTCTCTAGGTATAGCGATCTGCTTTTGCGTTGCCGGGAACTCGACTCCTGGACTCAGGATCTCTGTCTCCCAAGTGTCGTCTGGATATCAGGCTTCTTCAACCCCCAGTCCTTCCTCACAGGTAGGGAGCACATCACAACTCATTAGTAATTTACTGCTACAGTAATTTTTATAATTACTGCCAGGAGGCCTCATTAAATTTGATCTAATGAATAAATATTGTATTTTTCAACATGATTACCAGAACAGCTTAAACTGTGCACCATAAACAATTATTTCCCTACACGTTTATCATACTTGAATGCAAGTTTGCCATTTTCGAATATATTTGTCAAGTGATGGATACATATTTTATTGTACTACGGGATATTAGATATGACAATTAAGGGGATGGAACAGTGCTGAACTTCTGTAATAATGAAATTTTATGCACCAATGGTTTTGTTTTTAAGACAAATAAAATATTTAATTTAATTTATAATAAAATTTACTTTGAAAGAACAACTCCAGCTAAATGTAAAAGCCTAAATTGTGTCTGATATGTACTTTCAATTAAAGTGTATAAAATACATATTGTTAAATAAATACGAGGATATTTTCAACATACAGTACTGTATACCATAATAACAACAAATTACTAACAGCTGAACTTTAAAATAAAAAGTGGTTGATAAGCAGCAATGCATACAGGGAAAGCTAAAATGTGAGGTGTGAAGGGACTAGGACATTTTTCTTAAAGCTGAAGTTTTATCATTTAGTTTTGTCCTTTAAAAAAAATATTGATTAAATATCATTAGTATAGGAACCTGAATTTCTCTTTATAATAGCTTCTCATAAGACCTAGCACACCTGAGCTCAGACAGAGAGAGGGACACAGCACCAAGTCCAAGAGGCTTTACTGATTTCCATCTAACACTAGAAAACTTGCTTATAAAATGGGAAAGCAGAGTGATAAATTCATTGATATAATGATACTCTATTGACCAGCCAGTAAGCTAGGAGTGGGGAGGTGACCAAGGAAATTGATTTTTGGCAGCCACTTACTTACTATATTCACCCATCAAATTGGCCAAGGCTGTTAAGAAAATATGCCAGGGATGTTGAACTGTGCACAAAAGAATGCCTGCAGCTAGAACGGTAAGGTAGGATATTCAGTAAATATCTGTGGGGCCCAAACCTGAAATTATGAAACTATAAATTTTGGCTTTAAGAGACCATGCCATTCTAAAAAAAAAAAAAAAGCTGTAGGTATCGAGTGCAGACACCTAGAGATATCTTGCAGCAGACACCAATCTATGCCATTACTACCAATTCCCCAGGCATTCTGACATGCAACACTTCTTGAGATTGTCTGGGTATCATTTCAGCATTCCTACCACTGGTATAAGGCCTATGTTAAGTTTATTGGTTAGGTTAGCAAAGGCTAAGGTTTAGGCTTAAGGTTGGGTTTGCACCATTTCCCGGACCAGATCTGGAATGCAGCGCATCGCGTTTTTGTCACGCTTTTACCACATTCCGGAGCTGGGGGTTTTTTTTCGCTTAAAATGAGCTCTCAGGTGCATTCCGTGCATTTTTGATGGGTTTCTATGCATTCCAGTGTATTCTAGACCAGACAAAATGAGACATGCAGTGTTTTTCTGGTCTGGTCTGGTCTGGAACGGACTGCGCTGGTGTGAACAGAGGCCAGAAATAGCATAGGGATACATTAGGATGCATTTTGGGTCCGGAAAACAATCTGGTCTGGTCTGCGGTTCACACCACAAAGTCCGCATTCCAGAGGCGCTCAGCCTCTGGAACACACTGCAATGCAAGCGTTCAGGGGCGGGAGGAGGCATGGCGGTGCATTTAAGTCAATGACCCCTGCCCGCAGTGCAATCGACTGCACCTGGAACACTAGCACATTAGTGCCTGCATTCCGGTCCAGTGTGATCTGCAAAAATAGTGCCCTAAGGGTTAGGTTTAGCTTAAGTTTAGAGATGGGCTAGGAGAAGTGTTACATTCTTGGGGTTAGGTTCAGCGTAAAGGTGGCCATAGACCTTACAACCATTGCAAAACTTTTGTCCTGCGATGGTTGTAAGGTAATTAAAAAAACTACGATCTGCCCTGGGGGGCGGGCTTCCGATGACTGCAATGCTGAACCGGCAGTGTGCACTTGCGCACACTGGCCTATTCGGCATTTGTCTTATGAGCATGCCACAAACAAGCCGACAATCCTAAGATTCTCTGCGGGTTTTCAAACATGCTTGTTAGACAAAAGTCGTGCGACCGTACAGTAGGAGAGGTTGCACGCCTTCCATAAACCTTGCGATTATCGTATGATCGCGGGATTTCCCGCAATTATCGTACGTTAATCGCAAGGTGTATGGGCACCTTAAGTGATAATTTTAATGGTTGTATTGGGTTAAGGGTCAGATTTTTGGGGGGAATAGAGTAAGGAAGAATTGGTACATTTAAATTTGCGGGACAATTTTATTTTGCTATAAAAGCCTAGTCATTTCTTGTCTGGTTTTAACGAGCAAATTCTGTTGATTCTAAGTTCCTACATCCAAAGGAAGTGCTTTAAGAAATAAAAAGATGAACACACGATGCTAAAGTTGGGCTGCCTCCATTACATTTAGGTTGCATAATGACTTGTAAGCTGTGTATGCCTGCTGGAAATGAGCTCATTTACTACTAGACCGCTTTTTTTCTCCCATGCCATTTATCCAACTAGAAAACATACATTTATGTGAATATCATATCTTGCAAAGTGGTGTTTAGCTGTGTGGTTACAGATGCGGAGTGATTATAAAAAGAACCAAATTGAGAATGATGTTATTCAACTAAAAACAATTCTTGCAGCTGTCATGCAAAGTTTAGCTCGAAAAAATGAATGGCCCCTAGACAAGATGCATCTTACGGTGGATGTAATGAAGAAATACAAGGAGGAATTCTCCCAGCCTGCCAGGGAAGGAGCGTACATACACGGACTGTACTTAGAAGGTAAGAGCAAGACCATCTCAGTGTATGAAGTCCTGTTTGCTGTGCCACCTTTCCAGTTTGGTCACTGAAAGGTGTTTTAGGGTAATAGCAGTTGTTCACTCAGATTATTAAAGGAAATCTCAAAACTACAGACAATAGCCTCAGGTAGAAGATACCTGTCTAGCTCCAGAGCTACTCATTAATACTAAGGCCGTGAAATCAGTTTTACTGAAGGCTAAGGTTCATCACCACTACCACAGAACTAGTATACAACCTGTGAGTCAGAGATTGTCAGCCTCCAGGCGAAGTTCCTCAAACATGTATTTTGCTCTGCAACAGATTACTTTTTATTGTATGCACTCCATAACAGTGATGTCTCATCAAATATCAACTGTCTGAAATACAACGAATACCGCATGATGGAAATTGGTGTAGTTTTAACATAACACAGTCACATTTCAGGAAGAATTTGGGCAGTCCTCGGGATGTGCACTTAAAGCCCATTTCCAGGTAAACCAAAAATCTGCCCTTGCAGTGGGGCTACCCCCCCACACTGCAAGGGTTAAATGCAGGTTTATGTTTAGAGTTTGGAGTAAGCATGCATTCAAACCAAAATCGGAAAGGAAATCGTAAGTCAACTGAGGGTCCCTTGACTTGCAATTGTACCTTCTGATTTTCTTTTCCGATCCCTTGCGATACATTTTTCCATGGATGCTAACGTCAGGGCACCGAAAAAGGAATGGGTGTGAATGGGGTTAGTTCACACACCAGATCCATTGCATTAAGTTGCTCTGAAAAAAAGTAGTGCATGTTCTACTTCAGCACAACGAAACAGAGCAGAGTGAACTGGCCCCATTTACATCCAATTATTTTTTATTTTTCGGTGCCCATCCGTTGAAAAATGGATCGCAACGCAATGGATCCGGTGTGAATGGGGCCCAAAGCAGATTTACTTACCTGATCCCTGTCTAATGCAGGGCTATGGAATCTGCATTAGATGTGACAACATCAGCGGTCCTTAAACCACCAAAGCCCAGGGGTGAAATGGCGGCGAGGGGGGACCTGTCTAGCAGCCTGGAGGGAGGTGGTGGTAGCGAGGATTAAATAAGTAAATCTGCTTTATTACAGCTCCTAGACATAAACAAGCGCTTAACCCTTGCATTGTGGGGTAGTCCCACTGCAAAGGGTATCACAGGCATTCTATGATTGGACATGATTGTGCAGGTTCCAGACTATTCTGAGCAGTTTGAAAATGAAAGTAGGGGACAAACTGAGGGTCAGATTGAACTTCTCCTCATTAACATACAATGCCTTTAAGTCTTTGAAGGCTAAGTTTACCATATTCAAAGTGTAACATGAAACATGGTCACATGGGAGGTCTGCAGAAGCCAGAGTATTGCATCTGCAATCCACTGATCGTGGTTGCAATACCTTACTGGCTCCAGTGGGAAAAAATAAAAGGCAAATGTTTGTTTTATGAAGGAGTGCGCATTTATGGTTGTTTTTCTAAAAGTTGGACTTTGCCTTAAATCCTTTGTTAGCACAGACAGTGTTCAACTCTAATTTACAACTGGCAGTGAAACCTGGCAGCAAAGTACAGACATGGTTAATTAGAGTAAACATAACTTTCCCCAGCCTTCTCCTTAAAGCAGAACTCCAGGAAATGCTTTGTATTAACCCTTGCAGGACGGGTTACCCCCACACTGCAAGGGTTAACTGCACGTGTTGTGTCTAGGTGTAAAAAAAAAACACAGATATACACACCCAAAGCTCTGAGCCGGGTTCTTCATTGACCGGTCCCTGGAATGTCTCTCCTCCTCTGCAGCGGTCTAAGGTCCCATAAATCATCACGTCTATACACCGTGCATAGACAAGAGGACGCTGAGGAACATTCCAATGTGCTGCGGAGGAGGGGACAGGCTGGAAAGAGTGCTGTGATAGCCGGCTGGCTCGGAGCTTTGGGTGAGTATACCTTTGTTATTTTAACACCTAGACACAAATGAGCCCCACTGCAAGGGTTAATAAAACATTTCCTGGTGTTCTGCTTTAAGATTACATAGAGATAAGGGTTAGGTAGGACTTTAAGCAAGTGAAAAAGCACTTAAAAACACAAGTGACAGCTGGCTCTGCCTATCTAGAGGCAAAGCCAGCTGTACCCGCCCCCTCCCCCGTCCGTTCCTGCAGTCAGCACTGAAGGATCGGAGCGGGCATCCCTGCAGGGAGCCGTGACTGTCATCGCTTTCTGCAGGGAGATGACCGAGAAGCGTTCGCCCACTTCCCAATCTATTGAGCTGACATGTGACAGTTTCATTGTCACACGTCGGCTCCAACTATGATGAGTGATTTTCACTCACCTCATAGTTCTCCTTTAAACCTCTTTCCTCTTATGATCACAGACAATACGTCGTTTTATGCAGATGTGACCTTGCCCAATGGATTTCAATTTGTATTATCTCTTTACTGGGTTACAGGAGCACACTGGGATATTCAAGGAGGGCACATCGCTGAAGCTCGTCTAAAGGCTCCCAATCCTATCATGCCAGTCATCTTTGTTCGAGCAATTCCAAACGACAGACAGGACACAAGAAACATGTATGAATGTCCAGTTTACAAGACAAAGATAAGAGGCTCCACCTATGTGTGGGCTTTTCACTTGAAGACCAAGGAAAGGCCTTCTAAATGGATTCTTGCTGGAGTGGCTTTGCTGTTAAGTGTGTAAAATAAAGTCTAAAGGTTGCATCCAACTTTACTGCCTTCAATGTTATGTCATACTAATGAATTTGCACAAATCTTCATGGGCAGCATTGATAATTAAGAAAAAAAAAGTACCCTCTTCCAAATCAAATAAATTCATAGG